GCAATAGGGATCATTTTGAGAACATTAAGAAGTTCTGTAACCTCCCCAAGACAGCAAAAATAAAAAACAGAAGGAAAAATTAGGGAAAAGACATGAGCTGATATATTATACTCCTAAAACTGTTTATGACAAAGGACTGTAAGAGCTTATATTCTCCAAGATCTTCAGAAATCCTATTCAAAATCTATTATGGGAGAGTTTAAGCAAAGGAACAGTGATGAAAAGGAAGACTGTTAATACTTCATGCTCTAGGATCACATACATATTTACTAAAAGTATAAAAGGCCTAAATGATAAACACCAAATTCAGAATAGGGGAAGCATTAGATGGGGAAAAAGTACACAGGGGGTCTCAACTATACTGACTTTGTTTTTAGACTGAGTGGTCTTCTCAACTGAGTTTCAGTACAGCATTGTATAAAGAGTAGTATATTAAGAAAAAAATGATATTTCTTTCTTTCTCTCTCTCTTTTTTTCTGGTAGTGCTGGAGATTGAACCCAGGGCCTTGTGAATAGGTAAGCACTCTATCAACTGAGCTATTTCCCCAGTCCCAAGCTATTTCTTATATAGTATTTTACAGATGCATTTTTTTAAAATTGAGATGTGTCTAACATTCATATAATACTTTCAATGGCAGCACTTCTTTCTCAGTGAGGCATAATGGTTCCTCTCTCAATCAGTCCTGATGTATTTGAAGTATGTCATTTACTATATCCTTTGTATTCCTCTAATCTTCAAATAAGCAACATATAGGACTGACAAGAAGGGAAAAATTAGAGGGAAGAGTAGAGCCACCTAGCTGGGCGTGGTCGCATAAACATAATCCCAAGGACTTGAGAGGCTGAGGCAGTAGGATCTCATGTTCAAGGCCAGGCTCAGCAACTCAGTGAGACCCTGTCTCAAAATAAAAAAATAAAAAGGGATTGGATGGATGTGGCTTAGTGGTTAAGCACTCTTGGGTTCAATCCCTAGTCCCAAAAATAAAAGAATAGAGCCACCTAGAAGATAATATATTTCACACAGTAAATAATGAAATGAGAATAAAGAGAGGAGAGGTTTCTATTGACTTTCTATTGTAGTAATTGTCAAGGCTAAAACAATAGAGTTAGTAATTTCACCTCAACTTCTTCAAACATATGAAGAGGGGAAAAAAAATCATACAAAATAGCTATTAGGTTAGACCAGCTGGTGTCAACCCTAAATGCATATCAAAAAATATTCATGGAACATTAAAATAAAAAATTATGCATGACTGACAATGAGAAATCCCATGGATGTAGGGAAAAAAACCAGGTGTATGTGGGAGTTGCAAGGTTGGGACAAAAAGCCACTGCTCTAAGCATCAGCAATATCCTTAAGTTCAACAAATGCACAAAGGGTGTTCCCAAGAGGTTGACTGAGATTGCCTTCTTCAATTTGACAGGAATGTAAATCAGGTAGAATTTATGGAAAATTAGGGTTACACAGACCTGTCAAGATTAACCACTATCTTTTCCACCTACTCTCAGGGATGGCACCTGGCAATGATAACGAATTCCAACATATATTCACCTGACAATCATTACTTCATGCCTGTCATGTGCCAGATGCTATTATTTTAACATTTGATAGAAAAATCCATTTAGTTCTTTCCCTATAGGAACACCAGTCTGGTTGAAGGATCAACTGGTTAGTTGTCCAGGGAAAGAAAGAGTAACTTATAAGCTAAATATCAATTTTGAAAAGTTTAACTGGGGGTTGAGTCAAGTAAGAAATAAGCATATATAAAAACAAATACTAAGGTCAGAATGATGATGCACACCTGTAATCCCAGATACTTGAGAGGCTGAGGCAGAGGATCACAAGTTCAAGGACAGGCCAGGCAATTTAGGAGATCTTGCCTAAAATAAAAAAGGGCTGGGTATGTAGTTCAGTGGTAGAGCACTTGCTTAGTGTGCATGAGGACCCAGGTTCAATTCCCAGCCACATGCACAAATGTATTTCACTTTATTTTATCCATATAATCCTATTCCCAGGGCTCGGGATCAAAATTCATGCATGCTAGGCAGGTAAGTGCTTCACCACGGAATTATATCCTCAGCCCCACGTATCCTTTTCTGTACTCTAGAAACATTGTATATTAAATATCATTTTTTATTACTAGTGTTAGAAAATAGTAGAGCTAGTTGAAGATGTGGTTTAGTGATAGAGCACAAGTCCAGCACGAGCAAGGCCTTAGGTTCCATCCCTAGCATTACAGGGAGATTAAAAAGTCTGGAGGAGCTGAGTGGGGTACAGTGGCATCCACCTGTAATCCTAAGGGCTCGGAGACTGGGAGGCCAAGGCAGGAGAATCAGCAGTTCAAAGCCAGCCTCAGCAAACAGTGAAGTGCTAAGCAACTCAGTGAGACCCTGTCTCTAAATAAAATACAAAATAGAGCTGAGGAAGTGGCTCATTAATTGAATGGTCTGGAGTTCAATCTCTAGTACACCCCCTCCCAAAGTTTAGAGGGTAGCACAAAAATCTACAACATAAGTAGATGTTCAGGATTTAAAATAAATACTGCTCAATATATTTTTAAAAATTATTACATTCAATAAGGCTATTATTTATCCTTTCCCTGGAAAAATTCAGATAATCCTATCCTTATAAATGTATACATGACTAACTTCATAATGGAAACCTTAGTCTACAAAGAAAACTTCAACAAAATCTTTCACTTTCAATTGTAAAATGAAAGTGGAAGAAAACCTAAAGAGAAAAAGAACTTGCTCACAATAGGCTTATTTTACTTTTTAATTTTTTTTTAGTTGTTGATAGACCTTTATTTTAATCATTTTAATTTATATGCGATGCAGAGAATCGAACCCAGTGCCTCACACATGAGACACAAGTACTCTACACTGAACCACAACCCCGTCCCTTATTTTATCTTAATAAACATTTCCAGCTGATATATTAATAAATAAAAATAGGAGGAAATGAAGACATTATCAACAGAAGACTTCCTTGACTCCAAATCACTCATTCAGAAAGCTGATCCTTCTTGCTGATATTGTGGAGGATGACCTTATCTTTTAAACCAATTAAAAGCAGACACCACAGCAGATATCCATTCCAATTCTTGGGATAGTTTAGTGCATTATGGGATATGTAGTTTTAAGGGAAGCACGTGCAACACTTTCAAGTAGAAAAGAATGCCTTTAATTGGAAAATTTTAAAATTTTGCTTTAAATTAATAGCCTGATGGCCCACAATTCTCCAACAATTCCTGAACTGTTACACCACCCCTAGAGTTAAAAAAAACTACCCAGTGACATCCTCTCAAACTTAATAGCATGGTTATATAATTAAGAAGAGACATTTTTAAAGGAGAACATGAGTTCTAGAGACAATATCTATAATATGTGATCAGTACTGCCAGCCACAAGAATGCCCTGGACACAAAATTTGTCACAGGCTGAAAATATAATTGGACTCCTCTAACACACCCTTCTGAATCAGGTGGTCTTTACTTTTGAGTGTAACCCTGAAAAAAGTCAGCCAAGCTGGAGGAGTGAAGACCCAAATCAGAAGCAAGTAAATGTTACACACTAACTTTGTATTTCTGGTGCTTTTGAATAGTCTTTAACTAAGGGTCATTGTGCCAGGAGGGGAAAAATTAAGTACTGTAATTGGCATGGATCCACTGGGCTTTACAACAATTCTAGTTTGCTCTGGTAAGGATATGAAAGTTACCACCACCACCACTCAGGATGACAGGGCCTGAAATTCTATTTGCTCTCCCTTACCCTCAAGTAAGATTTTTTATTTTAGATCTACTCTAAGGAATCCACACTCTTATTGGGGTTAAGTCACCCTGAAACCGGAGTATTTCTCTAACACTGGCTACTATTTCAGAAATCCTAATTAAAACCGATAATTTGGTCAGATGCTGATGGAAATTATTCTTGTTCATCCAGCCTTTCTTTTTGACAGAGACCTCTGCCAGTGCTGAAAAATAAATGATGAGTTTAATGTAAAAACTGTATGAAATGGATAAAATAATTGCCTGCTTCAAGAAAGCACTTCTGACCATTCTGCAGCCCCACTGACTGATTGACCTTGGCTAGAAACCAACAGTCGTGGGGCGGGGGGCTAGAAGAAAGGAAATAGCCTGGGGCCCAGGACCTCTGCACTTATTGAACCGGTCCTTTCTCTACCAGACTTTGGGATGCCTCGTCTGCAGAGTGGAGAGCTTTTACACTGACTCACCTAAAGACTGAAGATACGAGTGGAGGGGGAGGGGATGGTTAAACCCTCTGCAAATAGGAAGTACCGCAAGAGCGCGGAGGTATGGATGTGGCCCTGCGCGAGAGGCACCTCCGGATTTTCCTTCCGGGGTCTCGTTCCCAGGCGATCCACGGCCACTTCTCGGCTTTCGACAAAGCACCTTCCAGCTTCCCGGGGATAGGAAACTGGCCGGTTGCAAACTGGCCCGCTGGAATGATGGAGGACGCCGACGCTGCGTAGGCCCTACCGTTCCGCGCCCTGCCCCCGGCCCAGCCGGCCATCCCTCCCATCCCAGCAAAGTGGCCTCACCAGGGCGCGAAGAACTCGACGAGCATGAGGCCGGCAGAGCCCGTGTCGGAGATGCGACTCTCGAAGTTGGCGTCCGTGAGTTCCAGCACGTCGGAGGCAGCAGCAAGGCGGGCCGCGGCTAGGAGAAGCGCCACACCCGGGAACGGCGCTAGGCGGCGGAGGCGCATGGCGGCGAAGTGAGGCGAGGGCGGCCGGGAGGGTCGGGGCTCGGCGGGGGCTGCGGAGATCGAGCCGACTACCACGCACCGGCTGCCAGTGCTCGCGCGTCTAGCCCAAGCGGACCTGCAGCCGGAGGTCCCAACCCCCTAGCCCGGCTCGGGCCGCAGTGTGGCAGTCGCTGATTGGCTTCCTGGTGTCTGCGTCGAGCGGGCGGGACCAGCTGGTAACTGCCGAGTGGCTGGAGCGCGGGGCGGGGCCGAGGCTGCAAGCACCGCGGCAGGGGCGGGGCCCGGGGCGGGCAGGATCTTGGGGGTCTGCAGGAAAGGCCGCGCAGCGAGGCTGGGGCTCGGCCGGGAGAGGGTCCTTCGTGGGGGAACCAAGTTCTGAGGGCTCAGGAGCCGGAGGCCGGGGAGTGAATTCCGGGTTGAGTGCGCGGAAGGGAGCCTGGGTTGAGGTGAGGCCCAGCAGCGGGAATTGAGAGAAAGAGCTGGCCCCTAAGGGACCGTTGGAGTGGACACACGCGGCAGGACACATTTTCACAACGTCAGATTGTTGTGTTGTCCAATTCCTCATCATTTTAAAAAAAATTTTTTTTCGGGAGCAACCACCTACGCCCTCACTCCGCTCCACCTCATTGCCTGATTCCCTCAGGTCCAGATGGGTCCTAGCTACTTTGTCCATCCTGAGGGCCCCTGCCCTGGTGGCTGCTGCTTTTTTTTTTTTTATTTTTTAACTGAATAAATTTAGACAAGTTTTTTAATTAGAAATGCTGTCAGAAAACGAAGTTGTCTGGACACCTGGTTGACTACGCAGTATCTCTGACGACTTTTATTCCCTTTTGTTTAAAACAAACCATGAGTCTTAGTGACTTTGTTCTCACTGTTGGTAGTTTCTAGATTTGAGCTTGTTAAGATCTCTTAAAGGCAAAGAGGGTAAAGAAGAGGAGCAAAAACCCTCTGGTACTGGTGCAACTTCTAGAATGAAATAACCCTTGATTCTTCTGTTTTCTTAACAGACATGGCTACTGATTACCAAGCAGGGCACATGCAACTGCCCAGAGCTGATGCCATTCGTTCGCGTCTCATGGATACTTTCTCTCTCATAGAGCATTTGCAAGGCTTGAGCCAAGCTGTGCCTCGGCACACTCTCCGGGAGATACTTGGTCAGCTATTTCTTCGTTACACTTAGTTTAAGACTCCTGTCTTCCTCCAGAATAGGAAGCAGAGAAATTTAAGGGTAGAAAATTAAGGGAAGTTTATTTCGTTTTGATTTGGAGGCTACACTTGATAAATTATCAAGTGTTGTATAAATAAAACTTTGTTGTTGATTTTTTTTTTTTTTAGAGAGAGAATTTTAATATTTATTTTTCCGCGGACACAACATCTTTGTATGTGGTGCTGAGGATCGAACCCGGGCCGCATGCATGCCAGGCGAGCGTGCTACCGCTTGAGCCACATCCCCAGCCCAGCATCTAGGAAATAGAGCCCATGTCACTCCCTTTTAGACTATTAGCTTTGACTAACTTTGAAAAGTTTCTCACCAGCTGCTTTTATTCTTGGGCATGGTCAGTGTTGGACTTAAGCCATATGTTAATTCTCACCCCAAACTAACAAGATTTTTATTTGCTGTGAGAAGGAGCAACTGCAAAGCAAGTCCTCGTACTATAAAACCCATTTTCCGATCAATCTCCCTACATCCAACCCTCCTTTCCATAACCCCAAAGAATTTCCTTTATGTTTGTCCACTCCCCTTTTTTGGATAAACTCTTGCTGGTTGGCCTTTAACTCCTGGACTCAAGATCCTCACGCTTCAACTTCAAGTAACTGGGACTAGAGGCATGTGCTATCCCTTTTAAATTTTTTATTATAGATCCTTCCCTTCAGAAGAAACTTTTGCTGGGAGATCAGCATCAGCTAGTGCGAATATCCATAAAGCCTCGACATGTAGGACGAATTTCACATGCCCAGCGAATGTTGAGCAGGTTGCGTGTGCGCTGCAGTCAGAGGCCACCTCTTTCCTTGTGGGCTGGATGGGTTCTTGAGAGTATCCTTTATGTCTCTGTTTTTTATATATGATAATTTGTCATCTGTGTATGATTTCTTTTTTCCGACCCCAAATACCAATATCATTGTATCTAACGGTATCTATATATATATTTATATATCCCTACCCAGGTCCTCATGCTATATTTTATGTTCTTGCTGTTATTATTTCAGTTCCGTAAATCTGAAAGAACTCCGTTTTATGTTTCCTTAAGAGAAAATAGGTTCTCTCTTCACAAATTTCATCATCTTCCTCATCTTCCTGAATACAATCGTACTAATGGTTGAAATAGGTGAGAACTGATACTGAAAGAGGAAGTGGGTGGGAGGTATTTTCTTTTAAATTGATCATTTTACCTTTTAAAACATTGTTTGAATTGTGATAGGGATAATTCTATTAAGCCCTCTGGAATAGATTTTGTAGAGCGACTAAGATCTAGAAACATTTGGAGGGTTCTCATGGTACTAGGTTCTCAGGGTACTAGTAGTAGACACAGGGTAGTCTAGACACTTAAAGATAGGGTGTAATATGTAGCAATGTGACAAATCCACAATGAACTGGAGGTGGGAACAAAACACCTGGCAATTGGCTTATTTTTAAAAATAATTTTCATATTTTGTTTCTAAATGATGAGAGACAGCTAGGGCGTGGTGGTGCACACCTATAATCCCACTCATGCCAAGAGGCTGAGTTAGGAAGATTGCAAGTTCAAAGCCAGCCTCAGCAATGGCTAGGCACTAAGCAACTCAGTGAGACCCTGTCTAAATAAAATACAAAATAGGCCTGGGGATATGGCTCAGTGGTTGAGTGCTCTTGAGTTCAATCTCCAGAGCCAAATAAATAAATAAATAAACAATCAGACAAATAATAATGAGAGAGAAAAAAGAAAAGATTTGGCTCATTTACAATTCTTACTCTGAAAATAATACGTTGCCACCATGGATAATTCTTATTTCCAATTAAAAAATAAATGTAGCATCATTACAGTTTCTTTGACATTGATGTTTAAAGTTTTAGAGACAGCTTGATGTGCTGTATAAAATTTTTCATTGTGTGAGTGCACTTTATGGAATCTAATGAACCTCATCATGACATAAACTTGCAGAATTATTTTCTTCTTTTTTTTTTCTTTCATGGTATCCAGGGGCACTTAGCCACTGACCCACATCAACAGCCCTTTTTTAATGTTTTATTTAGAGTCAGGGTCTTACTAAGTTGCTGAGGCCAGCTTTGAACTCACGATCCTCCTGCCTCAGCCTGCTGAGCCACTGAGATTACAGGCTGTGAGCCACTCTCACCTTATTTGCTATTTTGAGAGAGGATCTCAATAAATTGCCTGGGGCTTCCTTAAGTTGCTGAGGCTGGCTTTGAACTTGCAATCATCTTGCCTCAGCCTTCCCTGGTGCTGGGATGACAGGTGTGTATCACTGCACCTGGCTCTTATGCTCTTCTTATCTTTATTTTGTTTATTTGTATTTATGTGGTGCTGAGGATCGAATCTAGTGCCTCACATTGCAAGGCAAGCACTCTGCCACTGAACCACAACTCCAGCCCTCTTATACTCTTCTTAAAGTTGAACTTTTCGGCATCAGTGTTCCTACTTAATTGTGGATATCATTAGCTAAAATGTTCCTAAAAACAATGAAAATTTTAAACTATATAAGTGTCAAAATCTATACAGTTTGTGTTGTTCAGGGTGATTAATTATGTTCTGATCTTCTTTAACTGCCAGGTATATCTATCAGAACATTTGATGTTCCTCGGATGGTTCTGTTTTAGAGGGGAATGTATTTAGTTACTAAAGAATAAATATGGGAATTAAAGTAGAGCCCATAAAACCTTTAAAATCACTAAACTCTGGAACACCTTCAAGAATTCCCAAGGTACTGTCATGTAACAAAAAAGAATTTTCAGGGGTTTGCAAACTTGTTTGAAAATGCTTTCTAGTTGAAAAAATCCTGAAATGCAGAAAGATAAAACTTTCAAGGTCATTCATCTAGAAGCTGGTGGAGCTTACTTTCAAACCCAGGTATCTGGCCCTGAAATTTTTTCCTTGAATTCAGTCTGAAATTCTGAATACCGGTTGTTATATCAAACATATGTCCCTATACCCATAACTAGAAAAAGAAAGCTAACCAATTACAAAAAATGAGTGCCTCTGTGAAGGGATGGTAGTTTGGAGTGAAAAGAATCTGGGAGGCTGAGACAGGATTGCAAGTTCAAAGCCAGCCTTAGCAAAAATCGAGGGACTAAGCAACTCAGTGAGACCCTGTCTCTAAATAAAATAACAAAATAGGGCTGGGGATGTGGCTCAGTGGCAGAGTTCCCCTGAATTCAATTCCTGGTACAAAAAAAAAAAAAAAGGAAAGAATCTTAGTATCCGTAAAATAATTAAAATATTACAGGATAATTCCATAAGCTAGCTGTAAGAAAAGTATTGTTAACTTGAAAAACTTAACTAGGTAACAGAAGATTTAGGGAAAGTAATAGAAACCAGATAATTAAGGCATTAAGGAATTTAAGATTAATTAGGGATATATATATTATGTATTATTATATATTATATATGTATTATATGTATTATTATATATGTATTATTATGGAAGGCAATTCTGCCCTTCTGCAAAAGTCCTATTGTTCTAACTCAGTGACATTTCTTATGTTCTAAAGATTTTACTAGTTTTTTTTTTTTTTTTTTTAAAGAGAGAGTGAGAGAGGAGAGAGAGAGAATTTTTAATATTTATTTTTTAGTTCTCGGCGGACACAACATCTTTGTTGGTATGTGGTGCTGAGGATCGAACCCGGGGCGCACGCATGCCAGGCGAGCACGCTACCGCCTGAGCCACATTCCCAGCCCAGATTTTACTAGTTTTTGTTTTGTTTTGTTGGATGGGGGGATTGAACCTGGGGACTCTCTGCCACTGAGCTACATTCTGAGACAGGGTCTTGCTAAGTTGCCAAGGCTGGCCTTGAACTTACAGTCCTTCTGCCTCAGCCTCCATATAGCTGAGATTAGAGACATGTGCCACTGTGCTTGGCAGGATTTTCAAATCATGTAACTTGGCCAAATCAATACTAGTATTTTATTATAGCACTTTGTATAAAACTAAATTAGAGAAAGAAGAAATACTGGGGAATGATATTGTTATATTGTGTGCAAGTATAAACATATAACAACAAATCCCACTATTAAGTACAACTATAATGTATCATTTAAAAAAATGAGGAAAAAAAACCCCAAAGGCTTATTTCTACAGTGGAATTGTAAGCATTATTTGAACTCATCATTTGCAACTCTTACTGTTGTCGTTTGTGGAACATATATACAAATTATGGTGTGCTCCTCTCTTTGGCAATGTTGAACTTCTCTTGCAACCAATGTGAATTTACCTGATACTCTATGTGCTAGATTAGGAAGTGGCAATAGACAACATAACCCTCAATATTGAAACTCTACCATAGAATCATATACATATGCCTGACTTGCTTGATAAAGCTACTGCTTTCTGTCACCCCAAGAGAAGACTATTCAAATGTAGATCTTCACTATTAACTCAAAGCAGTGACTAAAATTCCTGGCTGGACTGTGCTGGGCTTCTCAGCTCTATTTCCAATAAGATTCCTTTGCATTGTTAAGGCAGGCTGGTTTTTTTTTGTTTGTTTGTTTATTTGTTTTGTTTTGTTTTGTTTTTGTTACCAAGGATTGAACTTGGGGGTACTTAACCACTGAGCCATATCCCCAACCCTTTTTAAAATATTTTATTTAGAGACAGGGTCTGACTGAGTAGCTTAAGGCCTAAATAAAGTCCTGAGGCTGGCTTTGAATTTGCAATCCTCCTGCCTCAGCTTCCTAAACCACTGGGATTATAGGTATGAGCTGCTTTGCCCAGCAGGCTGAAAATTTTTTCAAGTTACATTTTCATTTCAAATAGTATATACATTTTCATTGGTTGATGTGGAGTTGGAGGCAGTCATTTTTGCACACTCTGTTTTGCTTAGGCAATTCCTAGAATTTCTTCCTCTAAACTTCCTTGGGTTCATTTAGCTGCTGCTGTTGCTGCTGCTTCTTTTTTTTAATTGAGGATTAAACCTAGCGTGCTCTACCACTGAGATATATCCCCAGTCCTTTTTTTATTATTATTTTTTTAGTTGTAACTAGACACAGTATAGTTATTTTCTTTATTTTTATGTGGTGCTGAGGATCGAACCCAGGCCCTCTCACCTGCTAGGCAAGCGCTCTACCTCTGAGCCACAGCCTCAGCCCCTGTCCCCGGACTTTTTGGGGCTTGGGATGTGGCTCAAGTGGTAGTGTGCTCACCTGGCATGCATGAGGCACTGGGTTCGATCCTCAGCACCACATAAAAATAAAATAAAGATATTGTGTTCACCTAAAAAACTAAAAAATAAACATTTTAAAAAAATTTTTTTGAGGCGCTGGGGATGTGGTTCAAGTGGTAGTGCACTCACCTAGCATGCATGAGGCACTGGGTTCGATTCTCAGCACCGCATAAAAATAAAATAAAGATATTTTAGAAAATCTTTTTTTTTTTTTTTTTTTTGAGACAGGGCCTCACTAAATTGCTGAGGCTGGGGGCTGGAGCTGTGGCTCAGTGGTAGGACACTTCCACTGGGTTCAATTCTCAGCACCACATATAAATACATATATAAAATAAAGGTCTATCAACAGCTAAAATAAATAAGTAAATAGCTGAGGCTGGCCTTGAACTTGTGATCCTCTTGCTTAGCTTCCTGAGTAGCTAGGATTACAGAAGTGTACCACTACACCAGGCTGGCGCCTGTTCATTTAGCTTCTTAAAAAAATATCAGCTCTTTTCCCAGAGAATAAAATAACAATAGCTTCTTTAATTTGTACTTCCATACTCAAATCATCAGATTCCTCTTTCCAAGACTTTTACTTTACACTGTTTCATTGCTCTCTTTGGTTTCCTGTTTTGTGAAGGCAAAAACTAAACAAAAATTATAGTAATCAATTTCCCAGTCACAAATGTGGTTTTCAGCTACTTTTAATACTATAATCTCATGTTTCTGAGGTCCAGAACTTATTGTTATTGATAAAATATTGTTCTTTTATTGAATCTAAGCTGCCATCAATAGTGAGATGCAATAAGAAATAAAAATTCTGGGACACATTGATTTTTAAGATGCATTCTAATTTCAGAGATGTTAAAAGTGAAACACTGCCTCAGAATTGGAGGAACATTTAAAAAAAATTTTTTTTAGTTGTAGATGGACACAATACCTTTATTTATTGATTTTATGTGGTGCTGAGACTTGAACCCAGTGCCTCACACATGCTAGGCAAGCACTCTGCCATTGAGCTACAGCCCCAGCTCTGGAGGAACATTTTTTTTTTTTTTTTTTAAAGAGTGAGAGAGAGAGAGAATTTTTTAAAAATATTTATTTTTTAGTTTTCGGCGGACACAACATCTTTGTTTGTATGTGGTGCTGAGGATCCAACCCGGGCCGCACGCATGCCAGGCGAGCGCACTACCGCTTAAGCCATATCCCCAGCCCTTGGAGGAACATTTTTTAAAAAAATTATTTTAGTTGTAGATGGACACAATACCTTTATTTTATTTATTTATTTTTATGTGGTGCTGAGAATTGAACCCAGTACCTCACGTGTTAGGCAAGCACTCTAACACTGAGTTATATCCCCAGCCCCTGGAGGAACATTTTATGTAAAAGAAAATTTTCAAGAAGCACATATCCTAAAGAAGCATTAGGATAAGTATAGTATGACTCCCATAGTTTTTAACCAACCCATTCCAGAGAGTTGACTGTATGGTTCCTTTCTTTTTATCTTGATCCAATCCAAGATCAGGTAACTGTAAAGCAATAACACCATAATATTGATGCTTATTTAGCTTATTTTGACCTTACTTTTTTCTAGTGCATAGTATACATTCATTAGATGTATAAAAAGTGATGGAGAAAGTTAAAAGTTAAAGGGACAGCATTTAGCAAATAATGAGGTTCTAGAGAGGAAGCATAGGGTTCAATTTGCTTTGCAGAAAAAAAATTTTTTTTTGGTAGAGAAGAAGTAAAAGGAAGCTAAAAAATAAAGGGCCAAGTAATTTTGAGGTAGGCAAGAAGACATAAGGATAGATAGAAAGGATACATGAGAAGAATGGCCCTGGATTAAAAATCTAGATTTAGAAGTCCCTTTCATATCTTAATCATAAACAGCACTGTTCAATCAGTTATTAGACCTTATCCACAGGTACACCTATGTAGTATCATGTTCCAAAGCAGAATGTATCAAAGACAAGAAAAATAAATAATCCCGGTATTGCTGTTATTCCACTATTCAGCAAATGACCCCCATTCTGGTAATGGTCAACATGTCCAGTTAACCAACACAGGAGAGAACTAAAAACAATCTCTTAGATCATGTCTCTGTACTCTTCATCTTATTATCATATATAAATGTGCCTACCTGAGATATAGCTAGGGCATTCCTCTCCTGTGCCCATACTCTACCCTCTCAGAGTATGTATTTCAATATCCTCAGTCTGTTCCTTACTTAGACCTTTTTGAAAATTCCTTTATGTGATGATGTTAAGAATCCAAGGATTAAAAGAAGAAAAAAAAAAAAAAAACAAGGATTCTCATTGCCTGACTTGAGGTCCACCTCCCTTTTGGGGGAACTCCTTGATACCCCTGCCTGGTGAGGATTTTATTTTATAACACAATAAATGTGAATATAACTATGAATCTGATTTGTTGTGTGTACATCCTTTATGAAATATTTTATATATCATGAGCCTATGTTTTCATTCTATTAAGACCCAATGCTTTCTTGTGAACTCTGGGATTTATTTAATAACAGTACAGGGGGTGTGGGTAGAAGTGGTAAAGGGGAGGAATCCCTTAATGGTTGTGTGATCCCAGAATGGGTGGGAAGTGATTTGCAGTTGTTAGATATTAACAGGAAATGAATTGTGGCTATTTTTTATGGTCATTGCTGTATGTCCCTGAATTTTATAGGTTGAAGCAACAGTGATAAGACAGGAAACTCAAAGAAAAATGGAATAATAGTGGACAAAACTGTGGTTTATAAGTGATTATTTTCCATTATTCAACTTCCTACTTTCTTAATTTTTATACCTCCTTTGTTTTATCCTCACAGAATTGCTAGAATCCACAAATGCCAAACTGTGGTCATTGAAGCTGATTTTGGAGGTGGCAGCGTGGTTTATCTTGTTTGTTTTCATCTTAGAGATCCTTCTTATGTGGCTATCAAGCTTTTTCCTCTTCTGGAAGAATGCCTGGAATGTATTTGACTTTATTGTTACCATATTGGTAAGGATAGATATCTTGAGGATTAGTTAGTGAGCTGAGGAATGTGTCTAGGTAAATCAAAATATACAGAAAGAAACACACAAAAATTTACCTAATTTCCTTCTTTGATATTTTTTTCTAACTAAAAGTCAGTAATTGCAAGAATTGTTGGTATTAGGAGCAAGGTAGAATCTAACCACAACATCAATCCCAGAAATAACACCTGCCAGTTACTAAGTACTTATCAAGTGCCTACACTAATGTTTTACATGTATTATCTCATTTGTGCTTCACAACAGTTCAAGAAGATAAACACTAATTTTATCCCTTTTTATATCTAAATGAGTTGAAATGCAGTTAAGTGATTTAGTACAGGAGGGCTGAAACAATCTCCTGAGAATGCTATTCAAAGGATAGTACATAGGAAACTATTAGGAGGATGGGATGAAGATGCATCTGTGCCTGGGTGGTTTTGGGTATATTTTACTCATATTCTTGTTTCCTACAGTCTTTGCTTCCTGAAATTGTGGTGTTGGGAGGGGTATCAGGTCAACCTGTGTGGCTCCAGCTGCTAAGGATCTGCCGGGTGCTGAGGTCTCTCAAACTCTTTGCACGATTCCGTCAAATTCGAGTTATTATTTTGGCCCTGGTGAGGGCCCTCAAGGTGATTTGACTGTTGCAGCTAAAGCAGGGGGCAAGGTAGATGGGCGTTTAACATTTAATATGAAATAAATCTGGGTGGGTTAAATAAGGCAATAAAAGGTCCTGTGAAATGTTACTTGTTGAGAAAGGACCAGGGATAAACTGCTGTGAATTTGAGATGACTGGGTTCTGGAATGAAAGTAAGGGTTTGGGTGGGCTGGCCAGGTGGGCTTGACTGGGCTGTTGGTGAAGATCAGCCTAGTCTGGCCCAGCTCTGACTTGAGGTCATGGCCTTCAGAGCATGACCTTCCTCTTGATGTTGCTGCTCATCTTCTTCTACATTTTTGCTGTGACTGGTGTCTACTTCTTTGAGGATTACACCCGTTCAACTCGCCAGGACCTGGTGTACAACGTGTTCTTCTCGTATGCAGGGCTGGGGAAGTCTGGGTGAGGGGAGAGAATCTGGGTTAGATACTAGGAAGCTCATTCAAAGCACAGTAATACAAAAAGTATAAGCTATTGTAAGAAACAAGAACAGTTTCCTCCTTCCTTATCTTCCCAAACTGCTAGGATTACAGGCATATATCCACTGTGCCCAACTCCAGCTCTTTTTATTTTTAATTTTGAGACTAAGTCTAGTTAAGTTGCCCAGGCTGGTCTTGAACTTGTAATCTTCCTGCCTCAGCCTCCCAAATTACTGGGATTACAGGTATACAACACTGTGCCCAGCAGTTTTATAATTTTTTTATTATTTGTATATAATCATGATAATTATTTGGGATCATCTATGTTTATGTCACATGTTCATCCATTTATTTGCCTATCAGTTCATACCAATGAGTTAGAACAATTAGAATGAAGGTTTAAAAAAATCTTGTTGGTGCCAGGCCTGTGGCACTCATTTGTGACTCTAGAGACTTTGGCAGGAGTATTATAAATTTTAGGCCAGCCTCAGCAATTTATTGAGCCTCTGTCTCAAAAATTTTTTAAATTAAAAAATGGGAGGTGGGTACTGGGCATGTAGCTCAGTGGTAAAGCATCCCTGGGTTAAATCCCCAGTACAAACAACAACAACAAAAAAAATCTAGTTGATAACTCATTCATCTTTTGAAAATTTATTATCAAGTACTTACTATGCTTCAGGACTAATAGAATAGTAAGGGGTATTATTTAAGATAAAGGAAAACTTGTATGTATGTGTGCAGGAGATTGAGTCCAGGCCCTTGAGCATTCTATGAAGGTCTCTACCAATGATCTAGAACCCCAACCCCAGGAAAATTTAATAAAACAATTTCAAACTGAAGAATGATTAGCTAAAAACTCTTTTAATATGTTAGAACAAACTCTAAAGAAATTTTATGTTGCTTTAAAAATAAGAATTGTACAGTTTCTGAGAGATTTAGATGTTTGCTTCTATTTTTCACACACCATTTTTTTTAGAGACCTGTTGAATTCTGTAGTGACAGTGTTCATTCTCTTCACCTTGGATCATTGGTATGCACTGCTTCAGGATGTCTGGAAGGTTCCCGAAGTCAGCCATGTATTCAGCAGCATCTATGTCATCCTTTGGTTATTGCTTGGCTCCATTATCTTTAGAAATATCATAGTAGCCATGATGGGTAAGTATGAAGGAGGTGCAACTTGTTGGGAAAGAGGTTGGCAAGAAATTAGTCTGATAACTGGAATTGGTGGACTGTGGGTAGAGAGAACCCAGTGTAGCAGGAAGGCTTGGATCCTAGAATGGTCTGTTCCCACCCAAGCCCTCTTTCCAGATCTAGTTACCACCATTTCCCAACTCCTAATGGCCCTTTGGGGCAGTAACTAATTTCCAGAATATCCGGAATGAGCTGAGCGAGGAAATGACGCATCTGGAGGTTCAGCACAAAGCTGACATATTCAAGCGGCAGATTATCCAGAGGTCTGCTCCCCTTTTTTCAGACCCAACTTTATTTCTCTCAAAGGCTCTCTGACCTCATTCCTGGGTTTCACTCTTTAACTTTGACCCTACTTTTCCCCTTATGACAGAAGATTCGCTCCTAATGTTAAGAATTCCCCAGTTCTAGTATTTTGCCTAATTCTTCATCCACTGTAAGGGCTTCCCAACTCTTTTTCACCCCTTTGCCACAATTTCTTCTCCCTATATGGTTTTCTTCACTTGCTGATAAGAATTCTTGTCTTTTTCCCTTATTGTACTATGCTTATGGATAGTTTTCTCTACCCTTTTTCTTGTTTATGTTTTTTTTTTTTTTTTGGTTATTTGTTTTGCAGGAGACAAAACCTGTCCCCTGAAGCACTGAGGTCATTCCATAGCAAAATACATACCAGGTTAGGAGCACTTATATGAGCTGGGATGGAAACACATGAAGGAGGAGAGTTTAGAAAATCAAAGGAGAGGGCTGGGGCTGGGGCTCAGTGGTAGAGCATTTGTCTGGCACATATCAGGCACTGGGTTTGATCTTCAGTACCACATAAAAATAAATAAACAAAATATTGTGTCCATTTACAACTAAAAAAGAATATTAAAAAGATTGATTTTGAGAGAGAGAGTCCATTTATTTAATAACTATTAGTTGTAATCAGTTCAGTGGTGACCCCCCCCCCCAGATTATATGTCCATATCCTAACTCTCTAGAACCTTGTGAATGTGACCTTATTTTTAAAAATGGCCTGGGCATGGTGGTGCAAACCTGTAATCTCAGCAACTTGGGAGGCTGAGACAGGAGGATCACAAGTTCAAGGCCAGCCCCAGAAACTTAATAAGGCTTCAAGCAAGTTAGTGAGACCCTGTCTCAAAATAAAAAATAAAATAAGTGCTGAGGATGTAGCTCAGTGGTTAAGCACCCCAGGTTCAATCACCAATACAAAAAAAAAAATAAGTCTTTGAAGATATGATTAATTTAAGGTTCTTGAGATGAGTTCATCCTGGATTTTCCAGGTGGGCCCTAAATTCAGTGACAAGGATCCTTATAAAAGACAAAAAACACAGACCCATAAGATAAGAGAAAGAGAGGTGAAAATGGAACTAAAGATTGAAATGATGCAGCCATTAGCCAAGGGAAGCTGAGGCATGCTAGGTAGCTGCTAGAGGTAAAAGAGGCAAGGAACTTTGCCTCCAAAAGCCTCTAGAGGTAGAGTGGCACTGCCAACACTTTGATTTCAGACTTAGGGTCTCCAGAACTATAAGAGAATATATTTCTGTTGTTTTAAACCACCGAGTTTGTGGTCATTTGTCCTGGCAGCCACAAGAAACCAATGCAAACGCCTTCAATGAAACAGATACTGTTCTAGACCTTTAGTGTGTAGCAGTGAATAAGATAACAGAATAGAAAAAAAAAGATACTCATTCATCCATTAACAAATAATTATTGAATACTTAGTAGGTGTTTGGGACATGCCCCCAGAGACCAAAATAGACAATAATGCCTGCTTTCATGGCGCTCATATACTAGTAGAGGTAAAGAGATAATAAGCAATGAACATACAGACATTAAGTTAAATTATGTTAAGTGGGCTGGGATTGTGGCTCAGAGGTAGAGCTCTCGCCCACCATGTGTGAAACACTGGGTTCGATCCTCAGCACCACATAAAAATAAAGATATGTGTCCACTTATAACTAAAAATAAATATTTTTTAAAAATTATGATAAGCATTATGGAAACATTAAAATTAGAATAGGTTAAAGGGAATTAGGAGTAGAGGCTAAGAATTGCATATGGATTATAGTTTTAAACAGGGTAATCAAGATATCCTCAATTGAAAAGGTAATATGTGAACAAAGACTTAAAGGAGGTAAAAAGATTTCCCTGGAGATATCTATGGGAAGAGTGTTAGTGGCAGAGGGAACAACTAGTACAGAGGTATTAAGCTAGAAACATGCCTAATGTGTTTGAAAAACAGCAAGGAGGCCATTGTTACTGGAGCAGAATAGGCAAGGGAAAGAGTGATGAGGTCAGAGAGATGTTGGAATGGGAAACTGAATCTTTAGGGCTGTGGGAGGTCACTGGAGGGACTTGACTTTAACTTCAAGGGAAAAGGAAAGCAGAAAAGAGAAGAGACATGGAGTGATTTACATTAAAGGATTATCAAGGTTGTTATATTGATGGTAAAACTGTAAAGGAATAAGGGAAGGAGCAGAGATCAGCAGCAATGCATCTGTTCTCACAAAAGATGAAAATGACACAGACCAGGGTTGTACCAGTACCATAAGTTAGTGAGAAAAGGTGTATTTTAAGGGTAGGGCCAAGAGGATTTATTCATAGATTGAATGTGAGAAGAAAGAGAAGAGGTAAGAAGGATATATTAGCGATAAATGAGATTGGAAGTGCCTAAGCTAAGTTTGGGAGTAGTTCATACTTCATAAGCTTTAAATCATCACTTTAGGGGTGGCCAGGGACAGGACTAGAATAAACTAGTCATAACTCAAATGCATTTGAAGCAATAAAATCTCTTAATTCACATACAGAAAAACCAGTAAACAAAAGGTATCTTCGGACTTTGAAACTTCTGAAGGGGATCACATAGAGACTGAATCCAGTGTTGCTGCTGAAGAACCGGCAGAGACTGAGCGCCGTGCTGCTAAAGATACGGCAAAGGCTAAATCAAAAACAAAGAAATCTGTTCCCCGAAAAAAAGAGTACCCATCTGCCTCCTCTTCTTCCTCCTATTATTCTGTGTCTCCAGGAATCAGATATTCTGATAATATTGGTGAGCAGAAGAGTTTCTTCTATTTGAATTCAGACTGCTCTATGAAAAAATCACAATCTTAAGAGGAGCTCTCCCACTGTGTCTGTGTTCCAATTTTCTTCACCAGTCTGATTTTCTGATCTTAATTACTTTCTTTGTACTTTTTAATTTTCCCTGAAGTTCTGTTTCATTTTGGATAAGTGTGGCTGTGGCTCTTTTCACTCATGTACAAAGTAGTCTTTTTTAAAATATATTTATTTTAATTTTTTATGTGGTGCTGAGAATCAAACCCAGTGCCTCATGCATGCTAGGCAAGCATGCATGCTACCACTTGAGCCACATCCCCAGCCCATAATCTGTTTTTTTAAAATTTTTTTTAAAGAGAGACAGAGAATTTTAATATTTACTTTTTAGTTTTCGGCGGACACAACATCTTTGTTTGTATGTGGTGCTGAGGATCAAACCCGGGCCGCACACATGCCAGGCGAGCACGCTACCGCTTGAGCCACATCCCCAGCCCCCAAAGTAGTCTTTTTAAGGCATGATGGTACACCTATAATTCCAAAGATGCAGAAGGCTGAGGCAGTATGATTACAGATTTGAGACCAGCCTTAGCAAGAGAGCTTGTCTAGAAATTATATATATATATATACACATACATACATACACACACACACACACACATACACACACACACACATTTAAGGACTGAGGATGTAGCTTGGTAAAGCAATTGTGGGTTCGTTCACCAGTACACAAAAAACAGAAGTCTTTTGGTGATGTGCCCTTTACCCTCCATGCTTCCTGTTTCCTCTTTCATCTCCACTTTTCTAGCCACACCATGAGACTTAATCAACTCATTTCCAACTTCCAGAAATCTAGGCATGTTTTTAAGAAATATTCCTCCCTACAGATAAGTTGGATTGGGAGACTCTTGTGCACCAGAATCTACCTGGGCTAATGGATATGGATCAGGATGACCGTGTGGTTTGGCCCAGAGACTCACTCTTCCGATATTTTGAGTTGCTGGAAAAGCTTCAGTATAACCTAGAAGAGCGTAAGATATTACAACAGTTTGCAGGTATGGAGTTACGGCAGTCATGGAGATTGGGAGTTGATAGCATGGGAATAATATATATATATAACTGGGAAGAAGTGGGAGGGTGTCCACTATTCTAGCACCTCAGCTGTCTACCTCACACCTGAAAAGGGCAAATTCTTGTTTTGGTATGTCACATTTTGGCTATGTGTCCCAATTTCCTCTAACATAGAGAACCTAGAATCTGCTTCTCCAGCAGGGGACGCCCAAATCCTATGAGATCTGAGAGCTTGTTCCCCAAGAGCATAGTGTCCAATTCCATTTGGGAATTAAGGTGGGTTTTGCCCTATTTGGGTAGTCCACTCCCTTCTGGACATAGAAGGTCTTTGAAGGTCTCAGTTCAGTAATGAGCAGTGGGCTCAGGCTCACATGGACAGCTATGGGGTTTCAATGGAGAGCAGAAAGCCCCCAAGTGCCCACTGCCCCAGCCCCCAAAAGATTTTTATGAATTGTAGACTTTTCCCATCAGCCCTTCTAGTGTCAATCTAGGGATATAGAAGTAAATGGTTTAAATAGTAGAGTTTTATATAAGCTAAGAATTATCTGCTTGAAATTATTTTTTCTATATTTCATGATTTGGAGATTAATTTTGATTAATAAAATTTCCCTCTAAAAATAAAAACAAACAAACAAAAAACCTGGAAGAGTTAAGGGCTTTTTTTTTTTTTTACAATTTAATATGGATTAGCGTCATCTGAGTTTTCTTCCTCATACCTTGCTGAAAAGAATCTAATGTGAATTAAATTAGGAAGGAGGACTCTCTGTGCATATATACATGTGTACATATGGTGGGCACAGGAGGGCAATAATAGAAATTTAAAATATTGGGACATAGAATTTTGGGTAGGATGTCAAAGACAAGCTTTGCCCACATCAAAATTTGCTTGACGTTCATCCTGCTCTTTCCAGTAATTCTTCAGTCCTGCCTTCCCACTTGTTCTCTGGGGAGAACAGTGTGGAAGGGAAGAGAAGGTTGAAGTTGGTTTCTTTAATCTTGATTAACTTGTCTATGGCAAAGATTGCTGACTCATATGGCTTAATTTAGAGTAAAGATTAATCGATTTGTGTGGGAGTCTAGAACTCAGAAAAGCAAGGTCTTCACCAAATGCTTATATGTTCCAAACATTCTTAGCTCTTCAGCCTCACAGTCTGTTTCTTTACAGTGCAGGCACTGATGAGCTTTGAAGACAAGTAAAGCCTTCAATGGATGGTTTTGAAATCTTTGGGCCCAGCAGAAGATAATGAAGGGAATTCTCGGAAATAGAGAATTCAAAATATAAATGTCTAATAAATACTGCTTTTGAGTTAACTAATTATGTTTCTGAGACATAGGGACACTGAAAGCATAAGGTCAGGCAAAAAAATTAGTTCAGTTGCTCATGGTGCCTGTGCTCCTTGCCATTCCTTTCTCTCTACAGCTCTGTTTTATTTTTTTAACTTTATCATTTAATCTTGTAATCTTCTACCCTTCTTGCAACCTCTACTTTCCCTAAGGCAGTCTGTAAAGCACTCTGTGGGAAGAGATTCTCAGAGCTGTTGTTAGTACAACAAAAAAATGTTGTTTCCATTGTCTACTGACATTACTTCTCTTATGCACAATTAATGTTATTTTTCTTTCTTTCTGATCTTAATTGGTTTTATTTTGATTCTAGAATCAGGCAGTAGTCTGGACCAAAAATTGTTCAGATGCTCCCCAGGCACCATTAATTTCAGTCAGACATTTTATACCCATTTCTGTGCTGAAAGATATATTTTTTTATTCCAATTTTTTACCATTGCTCAGAGCAGTATTCAAATCAACATGTTACACAGATTTTTAGTGTTATGAAGGACCTCAGACTTAATCTATCTCACATCAATGCAGGAAAACCTTTGTGTGTATGTGTAGTGCTGAGGTTGGGCCTCCTGTATGCTAGGCAAGTGCTCTACCACTGAACTACATCCCCACAGGAACATCTTTTAAAACCTCATTGAAAAGGTGATTATCTAGCCATTAGTTATTGTTAGTAGTTATTGGTGATTTACTACTAGAAGAGATCCTATTTCATTATTGGATGACTCAACGAAGTTGAAATGTTTATTATTAAAAATTCTATCACTTGAGTATTTGACATGGATGGAAGGTATAGTATTATGAATATTTATAGTTTTTATAAAATATAGTATTATGAATATAAATAATACTCTCTATATGGAATATAGGTATATATTCCATAAGATAACCACATATGAAAGATATTTTTCTCTTATTTTTTGGAGATAAAATTGAGACTTAAAAAAAATTAGTAAGATTTAAAAAAAAGTAAGGCTGAGCTCAGTGATATATGCTCATAATACCAGAGGCTAAGGCAAGAGGATCCCCAAGTTCAAGGTCAGAAAATTTAGTAAGACCTTTTGTCAAAATAAAACACAAAAAAGACTATGTCAGAATTCAGAGGTAGAGCATTCCTGGGTTCAACCCCTAGTACTGCCAAAAAAAAAAAAAAAGTTGCCCAAGGGCACATACCAAATTAGAGACAGAATTAAGAGTCTAAAGCAGGTTAAAAATTCTAAGTTAAGAAAGATTAAATTTAAACCATTTATACAATAAAATAGCTTACTCTATTGACTTTTCAATAAAGATTCACTGTTGTCACAGCTGTGGTTCTTTTCTCTGCAGTCCTCTCATGTCTGCTCTCTTCCATGTGTCCATGCTCTCTAGGCTGGCTTCACTCAGGTAGCCAGATGATTTTCTGAAACTCCTAGACCTATATGCCTATTTGCTCAAAACCAGGGGAGGAGAGACCATGACTCCTTTCTCAATCATTGAACAAAACAAAACTCAGCTTTGGGTCAGAATAGAGGTTATTCTTGGAGTGAAGCCACTATCTAGGAGAAGGCATGAGGAACCTGGAGTATTGTGATGTTCTACAACTTGATCTGCATGGTGGTTACACAGGTAAATACACATATAAAAGTTCAATATGCTGTACATTTAAGATTTGGGCAAAGGCTCACCTAATACGTTCGAGGCCCTGAGTTTGATCCTTAGCACCACATAAAAATAATAAATAAACAAACAAATAAATAAAGGTATTGTGTCCAACTACAACTGAAAAATAAATATTAAAACAAAATTAAAAAAAAAAAGATTTGGGCAACCCACACACTCACACATTCTGAGCGTCACTGATTGCATCAAGAAGTTAAGTCAGGGCTGGGGTTGTGGCTCAGTGGTAGAGGGTTAGGTCATAGGCTTACTACTAAACCAATCATAGAGGTAAGGTGGATAGGATGACTAATTTAGGCTTTCTCCTGGAACAGGAGGTAAGGTCAGTCATACCTAACCTTAAGGGCTATAACTGCAATGGGGAAGGGATGAATGGATGGTAGGAAGGCAACTCCTCTGGTCATCATTACTTAAGAGTATGTCTGGCAGAAAGGTCAAGATAGGGAAAGTGAAAATGAATGGAAATTTCCAGAATAGGTAAATCCAAGAAGACAGTAGATAAGTGGTTGCCTGGGGATTTGGGGAGGAAATGGGACTTATTGCTAATAGATAGTGTTTCTTTCTGAGGTGATGAAAATGTTCTGGAATTATATAACCACTGAGCCACGTTCCCAGCCATATTTTGTATTTTATCTAGAGACATAGTCTCATTGAGTTGTTTAGCACCTCATTTTTCCTGAGGCTGTCTTTGAACTCATGATCCTCCTGTCTCAGCCTCCCGAGCTGCTGGGATTACAGGCATGTGCCACTGTGCTTGGCAAACAACATGGAATTATATACTTTAAAGTGGTAAATTTTATGTGAATTTTTTTAAAACATGGAATTATATTCTTTAAAGTGGTAAATTTTCTGTGAATTATCTCAATTTAAAATGAAGTAAAGACTATCCAAAATATTGCATTTCAAGAAGACATTTTAGTCATTCATAAAATGAAGAACAAAATATGTAACATTGTAGTAAAAATTCCATAAGAAATATGGCATATATATTTAGGAAGAATAATTGAAAATGCCATTTTTAGGTGCAATTATATGCCTAGAATTACTAGAATTAGGGATAACAAAGGATTTCTATTTAGTACTAATAGAAGAGGGCTGGAAATAGAAACCTGGGAAATAGGAATATATAAGTGATAGGAGAAAGTAACAGAGCTACCAAAGAAGCTAGAAAGAGAATAGCTAAAAAGACAGGGAAACCATTCTAGAGCAACATCTTTAGGGGCTAGACAAAACTTCAAGAGAAAAGTAATGGTCCAGTAAGATCTGAACTGAAGTATCCATGAAGGTGGCAATCAGAAAACAATAAATATAATAAAGCAGAGTAAGGAACAGTATCTAATCTTATGTATGCTACCCACAAAGTAGATGTTCTGTGAGGAGCTTTTCTCAGTGTGGCTGGTAATTTGCAATAAGTGCAGAATTTCCGATCCCATCCCCCATATTAAAGATTCAAAAGCAGAGGCTGGAGGTATGATCCAGTGGTGGACCACTTGCCTGGTGTGGGTGAGTCCCTGAGATTCTCTCCAGCACCACAAAAAAAAAAAAAAAAAAAAAAAGAATCAAAAGCACTTTATAGGTATCTGATGGACTTTCTCAAACGATTCCCTTCTGAGTTTTTATAACTGACTTTGAATGGTCTGTGCATGCTGTGCTGCCTCATTATTTAACTCTTTCCTCAAGGAAAATGGTCTAACATTAATTGTATCAGAAGTTTATTCAACAAATATTTGTTGAGTTCCTAAGTTCTAGATACTGCTGTAGGCACTCGGGATACATCAGGGAACATACCAGACTGAAATCTTGTATGAAATCTTAAATAGTTCCTCTTAAAATCACCAAGTAATCTGTAGCTCAGCTACCCTGGAGGTTGAAGCGGGAGGATCACAGAGTTCCAGGACAGTCTACATTTAGGGATACCCTGTCTCAAAATTTAAAAAAGGGCTGGGGGTGTAGCACATGGTAGAGCACTTGCCTGGCATGTGCAAGAGGGCCCTATGTTTGATCCCCAGTACAAAAAAATATTACTAAGTAACAAATTAAACCTTCCATGAAGACAGTGAGTTTATTTCTTTCTACATTTGTTTGCTTGTTGCTCTTTAATGAGCTATATCCCCAGCTCTCCTCTAAGGTTTTTCAAATCATACTCCAGCAGCCCAGAGCTAATAATAGCTCCTGAATAACAAAAACATTTTTTTCCTGACTAAATGTAAATATTCTAAAATGTAAGGATCAAGTCCCAAGTTTTCTTTTTATTCCCTGACCAGGTATCCTTTCTATAATTTTTACTGGTGTTCTTAAGTCAAGATATTCAAGCTCTATGCCAGGACTCTGAAGTTTCCTTTGAAATATATTGAAGAACTTGGATATTGTTGTAATATAACCAAATGTTAAAATTTTACACATGGTTTATGTTAAGATTTTATGTTTAAGCCATATTATTTATTTATTTATTTATTTATTTATTTTTGAGGTGCCAGGGATCAAATCTGGGGCCTTGCACTCTGGGCAAGCACTATACCATTGACTACATGCCTAACCTAGAACATAACTTTAGCCTTTGATTTCTAACTATTATATTTTCAATTGCCATAATGGAACATAAACATTATGTTTCCACTTGGCAGCAGAAAAGTTAATATTTGTTTTATCACAGTATAAAATAAATAAAAATACTATAAAAAGAAAAGATAAATTTTATACTAACAGCCAGATTCTGCCTACTGTATTATCATAGTTTACCTTTTATTTTTTTATGTTCAAGATCTGAACTGAAGTATCCATGGAACGTGGCAATCAGAAGACAATAAATGTAATAAAACAAAGAAAAGAAGCAGTATCTAATCTTACATATGCTACCCACAAAGTAGATGTTCTGGGAGGAGCTTTGCTTAGTGTGGCTGGTAATGATACCACTGGTTATTGGTGAGGTTATTGGTGACTAGTCCTGCTTCCCCACATGTTGAAGTTTTAACATTAAAGAAGCACACCGAGGCAAGCAAATGAAACAGGGTTTATTTAAAAAGAGGTAACACAGACTTCTCCTGCAAGGGAGAAGGGAGCCATAGGTGGTATCTTGGTATTCGGGACCCCCAAAAGACCACCAGAGACCAAGATCAATGTAAGCAGCAAAAAGGTGTTTATTGTGAGCTAGCTCGGTCCTTTGCACGCTCACAGCAACTGGTGACGCTGAGAGGCCCCGAGCCCAGGGTTTGCAGCAGTTTTATACACTCTTTGGGGAAGGCAGGGACTTCACATACATCATAGCATCTCTTAGCAAATCATCACACATTGCGGGAAAATCAAACAACTCTAAAACATGATTAGCACATTCACTGGAGGGAACAAGTTGGGTAGGGGTGATTGGTTAGTACAAGAGGGGGATTCGTTTGAACTGATTGGTTTAAGCCACGAGGGGTGTACATGCTGAACTACATGGTTTCCCAACACGTTATCAACCACCATAAACTACTGGGAGGGTCATCTGGCATCCCAGGTATTTTCCCTGTCTCATATTGATGGTGGTTGCTAGGGGATTGCTATGGATCCTCACCTAGCCTGACTGAGTCAGGGACATCTGGTGTAGCAGATTTCTCCTGTTATTTGTAGATAAACAACTCAGCAGGGTGGGTATGTGCCTAAGAGTGCTCTGTGGGTTTTTCCAAGGACAAGGGTCATGCCCTCTTCCTTCGACAGGCTTTGCTCTGAGGTAGAGGCTAGTTTCTCAATTGCACTGTCCTTCCTATCCCCACACTTCTTCCCTTCCCCTCATTCTTTTCTGCACAATCCAAAGTTCCTTCATTCTTCCCCACCTACCCTCCTGCCCCCCCTTATGGATTAGTGTCGCTTATCAGAGAAAACATTTGGCCTTTGGTTTTTTGGGTTTGGCTTATTTTGCTTAGCATGATATTCTCCAGCTCCATCCATTTACCTGCAAATGCTATAATTTTTTTGTGGTGCTGGAGAGAATCTCAGGGACTCACCCACACCAGGCAAGTGGTCCACCACTGGATCATACCTCCAGCCTGAATAATATTCATTGTATGTATCTACCAGATTTTCTTTATCTATCTATCTATTGAAGGGCATCTAGGTTGGTTCCATAGTTTAGCTATTGTGAGTTGAGCTGCTATAAACATTGATGTGGCTGTATCACATAGTATGCTGATTCTAAGTCCTTTGTGTATAAACTGAGAAGTGGGATAGCTCCTTGATGTTCCTGTGGTTAGCTTTGAACTTGTGATCTTCCTACCGAAGCCTCCCAAGCTGCTGAGATTACAGGTGTGCGCCATTGCGCCCAGTGATTTGCATGCCTAGTCTTTTGAGGAAACTCCATACTGATTTCCATGGTGGTTGTACTAATTTACATTCCCACCAACAGTGTAAAGTGTTCCTTTTTCTTCACATCTTCTCAAGCAGTTATTATTATTTACAGTTTTCTTTATAACTGTCATTCTGAATGGTGTGAGATGAAGATACTTTGAAGTTATGTAAGTATTTTATTTCTCCTTAAACTTTTGCCCACAAATTTCAGCAAGGTGGATCTTAT